TCCCCCAAACTCTGTGGGCTTTGTCTTCTCATTGATACAATGGGGGACTAACTGGGGCAATCATACGAAGGTGAGAGTTTCATGATTCTTAAAATGAGATCATGGTTGTGGAAGCTTCTGGCACAGCTGCCCTCTCTACTGGGTGAAAATAGGCTAACTCCTGAGCAGCCACAGCATACTCAAAACTCATCTCTGGAAGCTTAGTGACAGGTTGCCCTATGTCACACTAAGAGCCCCACATAAATCATCCCTTGCCACCCTCACAGCAACCTTGCATGTTAATTGTTATCTTTGGTGGACTGATGAGAAAACCAAGGTATGGAGGATTACACAGGTTGCCCAAATTATATGCTTGAGATAAGGATAAGCCCAGATTCAGGGCTTCATTGCCTTCTTATTTATGAGCTTGCAGAACTGAGAGAAACTTTGAAAATCACCTGAGCCACCTGTCTCATTAACTTAAGGGCTTCGTTGCAAACTTTTTTTTTTTATTAATCAAAATATTGTGGTTTGTGAAACACTGACTTTTGATTATGGTTAAAGAGAATTGAATATTATATTTATGGTAATTCCTAGAATGATTCTTTCTAGTTTAGTACTTTGAAGTGCTTTCTCGATGGAAGAAAGGGGCCAGGTATATCTAATGGTTGGGCTTGTCTGAGTGTGCGAGTGTGCCTGTGTGCCTTGCTGGCCTGGTAGAAATGGGATGGCCAGTAATGCATCAGGCCAGCACCTGCCATGCTGCAGGAAGGGAATGAGGGAGTTCACTTGGGTGAGCTCTGTCTGGGTCGAGCCCTAAAGGATTCAGCCAGACCTAGCTTCTTGAGCTAAGTCTAACTGGAAGTACCTCATATTTCAGTCAACTAATTACTCGGACTAAGTTTAACTTAGCATATGTTTCTGCAAGCATCTAAGAGAGATCAGCCCCAGAGTGAAACGGAAACAGGAGAGTTGGGGGGGGTCCAGCTAGCATTCCATCTAGTAGGTCAGGGCCACGCATTATTATCAGCAGAGAAGGGTGCTGCTTAGAAATAAGAAAGGAGAACTTCCAACTGGCATTTACCAATATCTGGGACTTCTCAATGTGATTCTTTTTCACTTGGGAGATGGAAAATGGGATGTCAGTGAAAGGAGAATAAAATGTCAGGTGCCCCTGAGGATAGGAGAGCACAGTTGTCCTCGCAAGTTAGCAGTGACAGAACCCATATACACATGCATTTCACGGATCATTTACAGATCCCAGTTCTTTGGAGCAGTAACAGCAGAATCTGCAGCACATTCAAGAATGACAACTAGGTACTTAACAATGACACAGAAATCTGATAAATTTTGCATATAGAAGAAGAATTTTTCAGATACATGTTCATCAATCTATTGAAAAGTCAATGCTCTTCAGTAAAGGAAAAGCCCAAAAACTCAGCTCTGCCCCATTGTGTGTCCTTTTCCTTAACTGTCACACAAGACATTTTATTTCTGACACTCCTGCAGGCCAAATGTAAGAAGGCTTTTCCTCTCCACTAGTAATGATAACACCAGCTGGGTATCCTACAATTCAACTCACTTCTAACTCTACCTCACTATAGATGGCATGCAGTCCCACAAGACAGGCATCCAGTCCCATAAACTGACCCTACCCCATTTCACTTGCTAACCATGAGTAGCTGGTACCCAGGTTACCCACAGCTTCTGACAGGTCAACAAAACCGAGCTTTTAGGGTGCCCAACTCAGGTTCAGTTAATGTGTTTAAACAGTTCACAGGATTCAGAGAAACACTTATTTACAGTTACCAGTTTATTAAAGGATATGATAAAGGATAACAGTCTGATAAAGAGACACATAGGGCGAGGTCTAGGAGGGGTTCTGAATGCTGGAGCTTCCGTCCTGGTGTGGATGTGTTCACTAACCTGGAAACTCCTAATTACTACTGGGATTTTTATGGAGGCCTCACCATGGAGGCATTTTTAACTGTTCTTCCTTCTCCTGAGAATGGAAGAAGGACTGAAAATTGCAGGTTTCTAATCATGGATTGCTTTCTGGTGACCATCCCCCATCTAGGATCCAGCCAGAAGCCCAACCATAGTTTCCTCATTAGAACAAAAGACACCTCTATCACCCAGGAAATTACAAGGGTTTCAGAAGCCAGGGACAAAGATCAATATTTGTTTTTCCATTATCTCACATATTTCAAATTCTTTAGACTAGGTCTGTACAAACACATAAAGCTCATCAATACAATCTAAGTAGAGTACAAAGTTGGACGGTTACCCAAGTAATTTGATTCTGGGAAAGTTTTCTTGGATCATTCAACCTTCACCTTTCCCATCGTCTTCCTGCCTCCCACCCCACACCACTCCCAATTTCCCCCAGCATATTTTTGGCGTTACCTACATACAACTACATTAACTTCCCATTTAATTTTGACTATATCCAAATTACCATTCACTCAACTTCCATTTAATTTTGTCTATATAGACATGGGCATTGGCACATATATACAAACAAAATATAGTGGATGTTCCAAGGGCATGGGATGAAGTGCACTGACTCAAAGTCTGTTTCTCTTTATGCAGCTCTAGTCAGAAGCAAAGTAAGTTGTGTATTAGTAATCACCCAGTAGATTAATTTGGATCCTCTGTCTTGGACTTGCTTTCATAGATCTCAATAATTTAGATGATTGTCTAATCCCTGCAAGACAGATATTTCCAGGCACACGGTCATATTTTCATGTGTGTTTACGTCATGTGGATGATCCAAATTATTCCAAATTCAGATATTTCCTTTTTTTAACTAATGGCTATCCTTGAATCCTTAGAACATCTGCCTTTTCTTTCATTGGTTTCTGGGGTTGTTTGAGTGTCTTGTGAGCAAGATTGTCTCTTCAAGACTGGTTCTGGCAGTCAGAATGGAGAGTCTGGGTGGGGGTTGGGGATAGGTTACCAAAGGAAGACAAGGGCTCTCAAGGAGCTTACATTTTCATTTTATACTCAGCTGTTCCCCAACAATAGGATGAAGACACTATGCAAATATTGAGGTGGTAGTTGAGTCAATGGCAAACATTTACAGATTTGTCAATGAATTAAATTTCTCAGTTTTGAAATGGTTTTCAGGTAGACATAGTCAGTAGCTTTGATTACATAAGTAAAGTGATATTGGGAAAGTGAATTCATCTAATCGATTCCCTCTAGAAAACTAATTCCAGGATGTGTATGACTGTATATGATGATACCATAAATGAGGTGACTGTTAAATCTCTATTAAGTCTGAGGTAGGATAAAATATGGTTATGGGTTCTATCCTGACCACATCCTTTACTGACCTGTTGCCTTTCACTTTTGGGATTTTGGAGAGAGAGACGTATCGAATGAGAAAGATAATGGGATGGAGGTGCTTCCTTAGACATTTAACCCCACAGGGCTGTAGAATTAGATGCAGCCAGATACAGACGTCCCACCCGCAGATCACTGCACTGATGGAGCTAAACAACAATGCACACATGGAAAAAATTTTTATTTGAATTTGAAATGCATTGTGTACTTTTTTTCTTTTGCAGCAAATTTATAATTCTAATTCTATTTTATTTGGCTTTTACTAAGTTATCTGTATCCTCTGAATCTATACCTATAGCAAGTGCCTGAGGCATGAATTGAAAAGCTGGAAAGGATAGTATCCAGTTTAATTCTTGCTACAGACAAATCACATGTGGATAAATAAGAGTTCATTGATTATGATTCATAGGGAGCATCATGTGCTGACCTTGTAGACATTTCTCCAATGACTGAATGTTGGAGGCCCAAACCACTGAAAACCAACCCAAAGCAGCTTTATTCAAACTAGCAGGTGCATTTGGTGCCATGTATGCAGACATCAGCTTGGTCTGTCTATCTATTGAGTACTTCTGCCTCCGACATTAAAATGCAAATATTGAGGTGGGCAGAGCCTTTTCTTTTATTGATTTCTGGGGGGGAGCCCAGGAGAGCCAGGTATAAGTTTTGCTGATGGTCTGTCTTTTCCATAGCATGTTTTGTGAGATTGGGCTTTTAAGGTGCAGTTTCTTTATTGACTACAAATTCTTGGCCTTGGTGTTTTCTCTTGCAGTCTGGTTCTCTGGTTGTGACAAGATCAGATGTCTCCTGGCTTGCAGCCAGCCTGTAAGGAAGGATGCCTGCAAGATACCATAGGCACCAAATGTCCGCTGTGAGAATGAGGCTGTCTGGCAAAGGTGGATGGTTTCCAGGAGAATTACTTGTGAGAAACGCACCAGTAGGTACTGACCAACCTTTTTTGTGTGTGGTTTTCATTTCAAACGTCTATTGAAGGAAGTGCTGGTTCAGAGACCTGTGTGAAGCAGAACAGGGGTGAAGATACAATGGCTGTGGTGGTTTAGGACCATTAAAGTCAAATGCCCACTTGGATCAATTTTCTATTCCCTGACTTCCTGAGAACTGAGCATTTGCATGGCTGGGTCTCAGACATGACCCCTTGAATCTTGAGAATGCTGCAATTCAGTTGTTGAGAGGAGGGCAGCATAATCTATAATCCTGTAACTGGGTCTCAGTCTTTTAATGAGTCTTTGCCTCTAGACTATGAGCTTCACACCCCCGCCCCCCACCATGGTTCTGATGGGCCCAACACTGACTCGTTCACCACAGTCACATCAGTGGGTGTGTGGTCTAGATTCAGCAAGTCGTGCTACCTATACCATTGGCCACCACCATCATTTGAGACATGAACATGAAAACCAAACTGGGCAATCAGAATTCCTCCTGGAAGCTTTCTAAAGGGTTTTAGGGAAGTCCTCTGTCTACAATGGCTATTTGTTTATTTAATTATTTATGAGTACCTTTTAATTTTTTGAGTTGAGGTAACATTGATTGACAACACCGTCTGTGATTCAGAGGTTTGGGTTCCCACCTCTATAGACGTGTGTCAACACATGACACCCACCACCAAGGCACCCACAGCCCTCTACCATAACTAACCTTCTTTAGTGTTGGAGGCACTAGTCTGAGTTTCGCGGGACAAAAGCCATTTCTATCATGCCTGTAGTCTCATCAGGGTGCAAGGACAAGTCATTTCTTTTCTTAATGTTTTCAACACACATTCCTTGCAACACCTTCACTTGGAATCGTTTCAGAAAAGTCACCAGTATGGTTTTCATCATCACCATGGCGATGTACTTTCCTGCACAGGCCCGTGGCCCAAAACCAAATGGCTGATAATACCTGAAAGGAACCTGTGAAAATGATCAGACAGTTATCCAGAGCATTAAAGGCTAGAGACCTACACCTCTCTGCTGGGTTCACCCTGAAAACACTGGTCAGCCAGAACAGTCTGTTCCTGGGTCTCAGCCATACCATCCTTCACTGAAGTGAGAAACTATCCCTCAAGTTAGCCCTTCACTCCAGTCAGTTTGGTGTTCCCTTTGTGATCTACTCCCAAACTTGGATGTTCCCCAGTTTTGCTGTTTCACTTAAGTAGCTCTGTGGGATGGACCCCTCTAGACTACTATTCTAAACCTTCATTTAGACAGAGATTGTTTTTGAGCCTTGGTATAGAACTTGAAGATAGAGGATAAATTTAGACAAAGATGTTTATTCCTGGCCTATTAGTGCCAAATAACCAAATATTCTAGCTCTGCAAAAAATTAACTGGCACCATATCTCTCTGTTTTGTCCTTTTTTTGGACTTATGGAGCGCCGAGGACATGGTAGACATTCAGGTTTTTGTTGACCACTTGCTAGCTTGGCAAGAATTTCTCATGTAGAAACAGAATGACTAGAAGACTGGATTAATTAAAGTTACTATAGACTATATACAAATGTGAAATTAAGGGCACTGAGGGAACTATTATTTGGATAATTCAGGTTAAGAGCCATCATTGCCTAAAAGTTGACATCATGGAGGTAGAATCCCCAGTGTAATTCAATGATAGAAAAAGTTGAATTACTGAGTCCTGTTTAGAGTGGAATGTAGTGTTTGTGGGTCACGAAGCGAATGAAAGACAGATTGTGGAAGGCAAATCTTTGGATCTCATAGGATTTCCACTTAAAGCAAAAGTGGACTTCCTCTGTTAGAGGGATCCTACAGCAAAATCTACATGATGACAGTGTAAGTTTAAATGAAAAAGAAGGTTAGTAGGTTAAAGAAAATTTGTTTCTTTTAGTTAAATTGAGGGCCTGGCTGTTACACATTTTAATCTATTGTGTAGCCACCATAGACACTTCCCAGTGCTGGAGATTCAGCACCCTTAACCTGAGGGTGAATATAAAAGTCTCATGGAGAAGCGTGTGTGCCTGGTGTAAGGAAGCAGAGGGAACGAGTAAACAGAATGGAATGTACATAGTGGAAACACAGAACCAGAATGGATCCAGCAACTGATATTTTCAAAAGTGGCACAGTCTGTTTGAAAGAAGGGTTCTTACATTCTTTGCAAAGTTTTCAAGAGTAAATTCATTGGGCCTGGGGAAAAACTCGATTCTATGCATTCTCCCAATATTCAGGATGATGTTTGTCCCCTTTTTCACTGGATAGCCGTCGATAACATCATCCTCTAAGGCTTTGCGCATGATCAGATCCACAACCGGCTGGTAGCGCATGCTCTCGTAAATGAAGTTTTCCAATACTTTTAATTTTTGTATGTCATCGATCTTTATGTCTCTTTCACCTGTGAAGATAGATTTAAAAGAACAAGGAAGGTAATATTAGTTTCAATATGTGATAAGCTCCTATAGCTTTCACAGATCAATTTGTTTTGGTTAAAAACATTTATAACTTTAATGTAAACCATTGGCCTGGTTCAAATATGTCTTGTTTGAACCCATTGAAACCTAAATAGCTTTAAACCTGAGGGATTTCATAGAAAAGCTTGGACTTACAGAAAATTATGAAAACCTGGTAATACTGGACCCACATCCCCTCATAGCAGCAAGTTGAGTAGCCAGTGAGACTTTGAGGGGTATTTTCTTGCAGGTCTCATCGATCTACCCAGTTTGCTTTAAACATTTATCTGCCTGGCCTCTGAGGTCTTTGAGTTTTGTCCCCAACTCTAAATTGTAGGGAAAATCTGTTCCTTTTTTAGTCAAAGTGAAATAGAACATTTAACCAGTTTCAGTGAAATTTTCTCCTCTGCTTACCTATGTAGTCATCAGCACAGAACACATCACTGGCAATTTCCCCATCTAGTTAAGAACCACCTATTGCAGTAGAATGGCAAGAGATTCCCTCTTTCACTACAGCAAAATGGGTGCCTCAAATCAGCCCCAGGACAGCACATGTACAGTCTCCCTGACACTCATCAGAGACGCTCAGATTACTCCCACTTTGGCAAAGCCTCACAGCATCCTCAGTTGAGTTACTACGTGTGTCCAACATTCTGAGATAGCCCAGTCTCCTATACAGCAGGCCATCTAGGAAGAGTCTCATCTACGGAGGAAACTCACATACTTATCTTTGTGCACACGAGGGTCTGGTGGGGTATGTTTGTCTGGGGTGAGGTGGTAGAGGGTAGATGACCAAGAAGGCAACCAAAAGCTGCCACTAGGAAAGAATTAGAGTGTGTGTGTCTCTAGGGGGAGGGCAGCTACGAATGCCCAACGATTCTGCTGCTTTTCCACTTAGTAGAGATCTGTTAAAGACCATGTTGTGGCACAAACACTTTCATCTCTCAAAGAAGTTGTGTTAAAATTATATGTGAAGTTTTATGATCTCAAGGTGAACCATCCTCCCCTGGACTCCATCTCTCTGACTCTTCATTCCATTGAACTTGCTTGTGGAGGTTTCTCTCCCAGCAATTGCCCACCATTCAGTTTCTCCAATTATTAACTATTTCAGATAGCATTCAAATGATTTCAAGAAGATGGTGCCTTTCCACCACAGAACGGTTTGTTTTGCAGGGACGGTGTAGAGTCAAGAGAACAATCTCCACCATGTGGCAATCTCTTTGCATGTGTCAGGAATGTGTTGCTTAAAAGATTATCCAGGTGGAAAGCGCTCCAAGTAAGGAATTCTGTTTTCTTGTAGAGGGAAATTCTGATTTTTCTCTAAAAATGGCATGTTTTTATGGAAAGGCAGCAGCATCAGGATTAGTGGGCAGAATGATACTGGGGCAGAAGCAAAGCAGGGAAGAAGTGGTGTGTGTGTGTGCGTGTGCGTGTGTGTGTGTGTGTGTGGCGGGAGAACAGAGGCAGAATTTGGGGGCTCCCCTGCAGAGGAGGAAAGGACAGTGGGAAGAACAGTTTGGCAGGGAGAAGGAAATTGATCACTCCCACACCTTTGCTGTCAGACTCTCTTCTTCCTTTTGCAGCCAAGTGAAAGTTCACTTGTGAATGAATTGCTTGAGATCTAACAACACTGCTGCAAATGTCAATGTGGACCCACAAGTCTTCTGCTCCAGAAAGCAGACAGAGCACTTTTTTTTTTAATCCCATGTTGTTGTTTTAAGAAATACAAGCATGTGTATGGGTATATGTGCACAAACACCAATAAATAAATAAATAAATAAAGAGAAGAATATACAGCAAAAAACAGTGATTCTCCCTGGAGAATGAGAATGAGCCTAAGGACAGTGGAAGAGATTGGAAGTAACTTTCCCATTCTGTGCATCTTTCTATTTTATTTTTTAAAAATTGAGTATGTGCTATTTTTATAACCTAATAAACTCTAATTTTCTGTTCAATACTGTATGGCATAATTAAAGTGTGACAGGAGATATCAAATAGCATACCAAAAAAAAAACACAATAAGGGAAAAAAAGTGTGAGAAAATTTACAGTAAGAAAACAAAAAAAATGGGGAAAAAAGTGTGAGAAAATTTACATTGTATTATTCTCTAATGTTTGACATTAGATGCTTAGGACATTGTTGGCATTTAGAAGGAATTATTTTTAAGCGCTTTGATTTATTTAGTTAAGGCTTACCAATAACAGTCTTGATCTCCTGCATTATATCCTCTTCAACCTTTGGGTGCCTTGCAATGAGAAGTAGCATGAAGAACACAGAGACAGACATGGTGTCTGGTGCTGCAATCAGCATTTCCAATACACACTGGTTCACATTCTCCTTTGTCAGGTCGCCACGTTTCTCAATAATTGAAAGAGAGGAGAACCATTGGCCAAGCAAATCAAAGTTTCAAAAAGAGATGGGAGGTGACAGTCACGGATCAACAATCACAACAAAAGGAAATCATAGAAATCTCAGTTCTCTGTCAATAACTATGAATAAACATTTTTCATGACCACCTGCAGCTAAAAGCCGCACAATTTAACCAATGACCAAATCTTTGGACACTACTTAGGGCTATTTAGGTCTACTGAGTGGACTATTTAGGTTGGGAGTTGTAGAAGAACTAGAGAAAATTAGTGCAGAAATAGGAACATTTACACACCAGTCATACACATTTGTGGGAAATAGTCATATGCATACGGTCCAGCTCAATACCTCGGCCAAAATCAGCTCCGTGGCAAAGTCTATATTGTCTTCCAGTTTGTCTGCTGTGGAAACCATGTGTCTTTTTTCTTCTATCATAACTTCCAGGACATCTTTCAAATCCTTGCTGGGAAAAAAGTCAGAATATAATCTCTCTGTATTCACTTAAGCTATCTAGAACAACCTAAATAGCTTTTTTTTTCATTTTGCCATTTGTTTAAACAAAATGACCTGCCTAAATTGAAACCATTAGTACTCATGAGTAATGAATTTATATCTTACTTCTTCATAAATATTCTTAAATTGCATGTACATTATATATTTCATATTAAGGAGTCAGAGTTAGCTGAGATTTCTAGGGGTTGGCAGTAAAATCAAGGATGCAACTTCCAGTTAATGTTTAAAAATTGGTACCTAAATACTAAATCCAATACTGGATTCTGACGTTTTTATTTGACTAGGACAGTGTTTATGTTCAAAAACAAAAACTAGTAGAAGCTTTTAGAGGAGTTGTGATATGCTCACCTCTATTTCCTGTTGCCTTCTAGCCACCAGTTAACTTTTATTTGCCTACCTCTGAAGTCTATTAGATTTGAGACTCCAGTTCGGGACAGCAAATTCAAATGATGGAGTATTAGTCTTATTTTTTTCGTGTACCCTGTAGTTTCTGTCACATTGTAAACATTAAGTCTTTGTTGAATGAATGGTTGGCTGCAAAAAAAAAAAGCGCGTCTAGACATTTTGACAGTATGTCTGAGGGAAGACTCTGGATAGAGTGTCAAGTTCTAGTTCAGGTGGTTCTCTTTCTACATAACCTACTTTAAGTCTCTAAGTCTTAACTCTCTTTTAAAGTGAAGAATTCAGACAAGATGAACAAAAAGGCATCTTGAGATCTAAATTCTGTTGAGAATTTAGATAATTCCTTTGTCTTTAAATATATGTGTCTGTGTAGAAACACATTGTTTCCTGAGCTCTGTATTGTATTCCACATTACTTTCAGTGCACAACAAGTCTTTCAAATTCTTGTTGATGTAGTCACCTATGCACCTACATATCCCATTGATGCTACTGACATACATAACCTCTAAGTTTGTTCCGATTCCACAGGAAAACTAAGGAAAGATGCTTTGAGTTTCCTCCCATTAAAAAATTCTTTAGGTCAGCTCAGAAAATATTTAAACATTTTGAGAGATAGTTTTTAGGTTAGCATAGTAGTTATGTCACTCTAAATGAGGATGTACCTATTGTGTAAATCTGAGAGTATGCTATAGACACAGACCTCCAGATGTGTGCTGAGGATAGACTCAGATCATTGTTTCACAAACTGTTCATATGTTCATCAAGCATTTGCCCAGTCCATGTACATAACACTCAGTTAGTGGGCTTTGAATGCTCAGAGCATTTCTACCTAAACAGTGGCCTCCAAACGGTGTGAGGGTGTGAGAGATGTTAAAAGTCCATAGACTTTATTTTTTAAAATTTATTCTTACATCAGTCTTCATTTTGTTCATTTTTCCATCTTGGTTGTGAACCCTGTGTACTTCCCACCACCAATTTACCTGTGTGCCATTACCATAGTCCCATGTACCTATCCCACCTCATTTTTGATCCCATCCCCTTCTCTATCCATATGGCTGCAGAAGGCATGTGTTTATCTTTTTGATTGCTGAGTAATATTCCACTGTGTATATGTACCACATCTTTTTAATTCAGTCATCTACTTTTGGACATTTGGGTTGATTCCATGTCTTTCCTATTATTATAAATAAATGGGGGTGGAGGTGTCTTTTTGAATCAGTGTTTTTGTGTCTTTTGGGTAGATAGCTAGGAGTGAGATTGCTGGGTCATATGGAAGCTCCATTTTTAGCAGTTTGAGAAACCTCCAGTTTTCCATAGTGGTTGTACTAGTTTGTATTCCCTTCAGCAATGTAGGAGAATTCCTTTTTCACCAAATTCTCGCCAACATTTGTAAAGGATTGATCACAAAGATATACAAAGAGCTGATGAAACTCAACAAAAATAAAGTGAACAACCGCATCAAAAAATGGACAGAAGAGCTAAAAAACAAACAAACAAAAAAAAAAACACTTCTCCAAAGAGGAAATGCAGACGGCCAACCGATACATGAAAAAATGTTCAACAGCACTTGTAATAAGGGCAATGCAAATTAAACCCACAATGAGATACCTACCATCTCACACCAGTGAGAATGGCACATTTTAAAACAACTAGCAAAAGTCCCTAAATTCATAGATGAATTCCTTGATGAAACTGCAACTTCTGAGTATCTGCTTCCTCCCTGTGCCAGAATCAGGGGACTTCTGTGGATGTCCATTGGGCTCTTCCCTATTCAGGTTGGTCTTACACCAATATACATCTAAATGTATATGCCCTTAAAATCTTGGAAAACTGAGTTCAATGACAGTTTTCAGGAAATAGGAAGTCACTGACTTAAAAGCATGTATTACAAGGATGTGAGTTTGTTGTTGGAACTCAGAATATATTTTTACAGTGGAACACTGGTGGCTAGAGTACAAATCTAGGTCACAAGCACCCATTTAATATTGGTGGCTAAAAGGTCTTAAAATTGACTAAAAAATGTACAAAGCAACACTGCTATAATATTGGTAATAAAAAAGCAGAATTATGAAACTGAATGGAAGTGAGGAGAGATATCTCAGAATCCTTTCCATAAATGCCTTTTAAGTGTATCAATATTAATAACAGCGTGGTGGGGGGCAGATAATTCTAAAAAGTTCTCTAGACCTCTACTTTTCTGCAATATGGGAGATATAAAGCAGTGCGCTGACCGTTGCAAATGTTTTGTAGAGAGGGAATTTTTCTGGGTTAATTACTCCAGAAAACTAGGAGAAACCACTGTATAATCTCATATAACAAGTTTTTTACGAGCCTGCTGTCCAAGACTGAAGCTAAATTAATGACCACGAACTATATAAGCCACCACCTGCTCTGACCACAGTGAAGAAATGAACCCTTTATGGTTTCGATTAAAGATACAAAAGATCTGGTGGGAGCAAAATTAAATGCATGAGGTGAGTGTGATAGCCACTATCCTACAGAAATGTTCCAAAACTAAAGGTGCAAAAAACCAAATCCACAAATGAAATCCAAAAAGAACCAAACATCGAAATCATTAACCTAATACTCATCAACCACATGAGAATATCTATATCAAGCAACAGCAAGTTGGCTGCTTTTCTAGAAACTAAGGTTGAATTTCAAAGTCTACAAATAGGATAAAGTTGTGTCTTCAAACAAGTTTGGGAACTTTTAAAGATAGAGAGTTAAGAACAGGGAAATGAACATACGTAGTGCCTACTCTATACCATGCTCTGTGCTCATTGCACTACATATCTAATCTCTTTGGCCTTTATTCCCTCTTAGAAGGTAGATTATATTTTACATTGATTCCTGAAGGTGATTTACTTGCAAAGTGGTAGAGACAGGATACAAAACAAATCTGTTTGCCCCCTCATTCCACTGGTGATTAGGAGTGGCCATTTTTAGTGGTTGTATCACTCTGAAAAAGCCACAGACCACCCTATCAGCCATTAGATATTTGTTCAGTCATTCAATGGACTATTTTAAAGCCATTTAATAACAATTCTGGTTCCCCCAGTGACTTAAAATATGTAACTGAAAAATGTACATGTTGAATTAAAACTCATTAATTTCATTATGAAAAATGCTTTCAAGACTACCATCAATTCCTACAAGTTGAATTGTGTTGAAATTCATTTAAAAGCAACACAAGAATAAAGTGATTCCATGTTTCCATGTTGACATAACAGTGTAAGTTCAGCCAACCCTTCTCTTCAACTCCATATGCAGGGCAGTGTTCTACTTCCAAGGATGGGCTCTGAGACAACTCACTTGGCCCCCACACTGAGAAATAGCCCCAGCCAAAGGCTTCTCTTTCTCTTTGGTCTGGCCACATGCAGCCAAATTGCTGTAAGAAGTATTTCATCAGCAACTTAATCCACTGCTCCCTCATGGGATCTGGAGAGCAGAATACTTGCAGAGGAGAGACAAAGAACAACAGACACAAATGAAAAACAAAACAAAATGAACCCAAATCTCACCAGCAGATTTCCCAAAGTTGTGTTACTTACACAGACTTTTCATACTTTCTGTATAGCCAAGAAATCTTGAAGAAGATGTCTGGTTTGATAATGAGAGCTTGCCATGCATCAAAGTAACCCTGGATTTTAATCACGACGGCCCTTTCTAAAGAAACAAACAATAAACAAAGCAGTTGAGTAAAACTGTGAGCCAAAGAAGGGCACCATGATCAGAGACCCTTCCCTGCAGAGTCTCCTGCTAGACTGGTGTTCTTGACTGGGCACGTTTCCAGCTTCAGCAGGTATTTTAAGCCACATGAACATGACTAGGCAAACCAAACACTAGTTTATTCTGCTTTGCATCTAAATCGATGGTGTTAATCAGAGATTTTTGCCTGCTTTCAAGTTTGGGTTTGAGAGACAGCCTAGAGTCTCTTGCTCTTTCCCCACGCAGTGGGAAATAAGAAGGGCACAAGTAATTATGCATGTTCTGATCTCAATTCTGCTCCCAAGGAGGGCAGGAGTTACTCTCCTGGAAGGCAGTCAACAGTTGCGTTTCAGCTTCATTTGGTGTTGGGTAACCAGAGCCAGTAAGTGGATAATCTATTTAGATTATAGAACTAATAAATAACTCTTATATTCTCACATGATCGTTCTTTATTCATATTTTTTTATAACACTCATCACATAAGTTTCCCACTTATACTTGGTCCAGAATATGGAATTCACCTTAGTATTTTCAATGCCTTGTCCTGAACGTCATGTATGATCTACTCTTAGTAAATGGTCTTTAATTAAAAGACTTTAAAATTAAATGTAATGGTCTTTAATTGAATCCTGGGGGAAAAGGAGCCTTTTATGTCCCTCAAGTTACACAAAAGAGAAAGGGATAGATACTTACTTTCAACTGCTTGATATGACTTCATTTAATCTTTACAATCTTGTAAGGGGAGTAATCATATTATCATTTTGAAGGCGAAGAAACCACAGTTCATAGAAATTCAGAAGCCTGTTCTGCACCATATAGCCAGTGTGGTGGGTAGGCCTTGAGGCTGGAGCCTAGTTTTATTTGACCTCAGTACAATGGCCTTTCCTCTTTGTTGCACTGGGTCTCTTAGGAAAACTGAGAGTATAATAAGGATCCAGTGAGGAGAAGGAAACAAAAAATAACTGTACATTAACTTTCCTAAGAATCAAAGCCAGTGTAGAACCAAGGAATAGGGACTTATAAAATATATCCAGCCAGCACCTACCATTGTGGTTAGGTTTTTTAGAAACTCAACTTCAAGCAAAACTATGTTTGATGAAACTGGGTCCTCCCATTACGTTATTTCATTCAAGAGGCCAGGATTCCTTTTCTCTCATCAACGTTATAAGGAAAAAATTGCTGCCTGAAAGGATGTTACTGAGGACCTGCCATAATGAGGTAGTCCTTGCTTTTCGTGTCATGCTGCTACTTGGCTTTTATGAAGGCTTTGCGTTGGACACCTCTTTTCACCAATGGAAGGCAGTCCAAAGAGGATTTTTGCTTTTGTGACAGAAGACAAGAGGCTTTCAGCAATGGTTTGCTGCAGTAGCTAGAAAGGCAGCTGCACTCTGCACAGCAAGAGAGGTCCTGTGGTATCCCTTCCTGGAGGCTGCTTTCCACAGCTCTGTGTGTGTATTCTTCCTGCCCTTGTTCTGCATTAGTGTGTTTATGTTTTATGTTTTATTTGATGTGATTGGGTAGGGTTTTTTTGGGAGGGTGTCTCAGTGTACTTAATTTTTTTTGCCATATGAATTAAGGGTAAGTGTATTTTTGCTTCATGTCTGCTATGAAGGGTTTCAGAGGAATACTCTACTTTCAGATAGTGGGGGAGATCTGTACCTACCTAATTCCAGGAGAGATGTGGGCGGGCCAGGCAAGCTGGGATTGCAGTTCCTGTCTGAAGGGGCTCAGGCAAGAGGGTATGACTGTAATCTCTGCAAGGAAAAGGGGACTGCCATCCAAATGGCAACCAGATGAGGTTTCCATAGCTTTTGTAAGCAGTAATTAAAGAGCAAGGGAGATGGGGCAAGGAGAGCTGGAGGAGAGAAAGGGGATGTTTGTCTGCTTGTCTACGTGTGGTAAAGCAGGCAGAAGGTGTTTTTGCTCCACTGGTTTGGGCAAGAGTTACAACACCTTGTTCTTATGCTTGTAATTTTCTTCCCTCAGCCCTGTAGGTGACTTGTGGCCTCAATTAACTTAGGCTTATGTTCACATGTCCCCTCCACAGAGGCCTTGTCCACTTCTGCTCACCTCTCTCTATACTATCTTCTTGCCCTGTTTTGTTTTTCCTTTAAAGCAGTTATTGTTACCTAATATAGACTAGATACTTGCTTTTGTTTCATTTCCCCACTGACATAAATTTGTCAAAGCGAAGAACTTCATCTGTTATGTTCACTGCTCTGTTCCCAGAAGCTAGAACAGTGCATAGCATAAAATGGGCAGTCAGCAAACAGTTGTTTAATGAATATAGGGAATCAATGAACTCCGCCATAAATCAGTTCAGCATCAAGCTACATATAATGTCAATAGTGGAAAATAATTTATATAAAGGGTAATTTTTTTGGTGGTAGTAGAATTGCATGTACATTCTTTAATATTCATTACTGCAGTGTAGTGAAGAAGGTGGTTTTTTGAGTATGAAATCTTGTTATAAATGACAAACCGTATATAAAACCACTTTGTATACCACTTATCACATAGGATCCTGTAATAGCAGCTCACATACAGAGTCACAGTTTTCATGTTTAATAGCTTTGAGGAAGGGTTATCTATGTATATTTCTATAAGGGAGAAAGTGTGTTTGTATGCAAATCCAGAAAATATGTTTTACATATTTTATATATATATATATACATACATATATATATTTATATACATCATGTTCAAAAGAATGGTTGGAAATGATTCATGCATCGGTTTGGTCAATGTCACGACATCAATGACCCAATGAACTAATCACATTTGTTAAGTTTTGACTGTGGGTAAGAGACCTAGAACAAGAAATAGAAGATGCCCCCTACATTATGGGAATTTACATCTTCTAAATGAGTAGGATAAGGTAGATAGCCTGGGGGGGGAAATATCAAAGCAATACTTAGAACTGTTTAAACAAGAGCAATGTACAATGTAACATTTAATTACTTGGTTCTGTTGCCCCACTCATCCATCCCCTTATTCAAAAAAGGCAGAATGTCAAGTCAGGAGAATGAAAATTTTGGTACCATCCATGGGAATCCCCAGGAAGAGCTCGTTGGAGGTGTCCAGCATGATGCACCGCATGAATTTCATTATGTCCACAGAGCCCGACTTGCTGGTGAACTCCTTCAGCCTGTCCAGATGTGCCATGACGGAGTCGACACAGACGGTCACCATGCGCACAAGTCCTGGGCCCGACAGAGCTGAAGGGGACACGTCAGACAGTGAGCTGCCCTGCTCTCCATGGCACATGGTCAGGTGACTTTGCCCTTTTATGCTTAGAGCTGATCATTCACAATGCTCTAGTCTCTACTTGGGTGGAAATGTCCACAATCTGTTTTACTTGTCTGTGTTCTTCTAATTTTCTACAAGGAATGGTCTACTTTCATGGTTAAGAATAAATGAAAAAATAAATATCAAGCCATTCGAAATTCGAATTTTCTTTTCATGCTCTGGTGTATCATTTAAGAGATTGCAAATGAAACATTTAGTGCTGTGATTGTAAATCGCCAATCAGTGATCTTTCTTATTTATGCACGTATTTCTCTCTAATGGTTTGAATTTTCCCAGAGTGTTAATAATTCTTTGTTTTTGTTTTGTTTTGTTTTTTTACAAGTGGTGTTTTTTGTATTTTTTTTTTTTTAAGATTTTTTTATTCAGAACTGGGGTACAGGCCAGAGATGCAGAGGGTGAGAGGCTTCACCAGAGACAAAGTGGGGAGCAGAACAGGCAGACCAACAAAGTACACTGCTGAGGGGAGCAGAGGGCAGGTCAGGAGAGGTCTGTGGCGCCGTGTGGTCACCTCCCGGGCAGGCAGGGATCGAACTCATGCGGAAGTGGCTTAGCTTCTTAGTGCTGTGCTTTAACCCGCTGCGCCACCAGGGAGGGCCCAATAATTCTTTGTTTTAACTGGTGGCAGGATCCTGCTCTATAACCAGTCAAATCTGACCTAAAATACTTCCTGTTAATTGTACTTAATGAGGATTAAGTGCTTATCTCATAATTTACCGTCTCTTAATTTAATTTTGGTTTCTCCTCAAACTACTTCCAGGTTTATTTTATTCAACCAATGTCTTAACAGCTAAGCAATGTTGTTTGTTGTGCAGTATTTCCCATCAGACTGGCAATTCTTTAAAGGCAGTGACAGTCTCCTATTAGCATTGTCCTTTAAGTCCATAAAAACTGGTGGCCCTCAATACATATTTGTCAAATAAAGGAATGAATGAATGAAATCAGATAGTGTGACCTGTTTCTTTTCTGAACCTTTTTCTGAACCTAAGGGTCTGAGCAGCTAGTGGTATGTGGTTTATCCTGAGAGTTTAACTTCTAAAGTTACCCTTGTTCTTTGCTCTACTTTCTTTAAGCTTTCTTGAGGACTAATTTCTCTTTTTAATGTCTTCTATTATTCAGGTTTGCTGGTAAAGCCAGAATTCCAGAAACACAATGGAAAAAAAAAAAAACCCACATCATTTGTGCCTCAGAACCCCAACCCAAGGCAAACTTTGCAAATAAGAGGCCTGGTAAGTGATCCTAGAAGTCTAAGATTTCTACTTATATATAAAAGGGAAGGCTGCATTGGTAGCATATTTGCTGACTGGAAAGAGATTAGCGGCTATGAGCAGGCAGGATGTCATTGCTTCTGTAATTCCTTCCTGAGGCAGCCCTTTGAGTGGAAGGGCTGGCTTTGAATATTACTTCCAGGCTGATGTGCAGTGTCTAAGAACTTGGAGCCATATTTCAAAGTGGCACATCCTTGAAAGGGCCCTGGGCCAGTTCTAGACACTGGAAAGGCAAGGAAACATCTCTCCTAGAGCTTCCAGAAAGGAACACCATCCTGACTGTACCCCCTTTTTAGCTCACTGACACCCACACCAGTCTTTTAACCTCCGGAATTGTAAAATAGCCAGTGTGTTGTTTTAAGTCCCTGAGTTTGTAGAAAGAAATGTTTGTACAGCAGCAGTTGGAAGCTAACACTGTGGCATCTGCAACAGTGTTGTGCTGAGTGGTGGCCACAGGCAGTTCTGTAGGCAACACTCAGCTGGGACAGGCCCTAGTTGTCTGTCTCAGCTGCCATACAGGCTCGCTGGAGAGGTTGAATGGAGGGCAGAATATCAGTGGTGCAGAGCTAGTCCGAAAATCCATGTAGGCCTAGATTACATCTCTTTCTGGACTTCCCAGACCATAACTACTTTTCTTGATGCTGATGTCACACACTCGTCCTGTGTTTCCCCAGCAGTTCCATTTCCAGCTGAACACAGAAAAGGGGGTATCAGTAGATAAGGAGGCTTGGGATCGAGTTGCTGTTCTTCTATTACTTGACATGTTGCCTGGACAAAAATCACTAACTCTAACATGGTATTTCCTCAACTGCAGGTGCTGCATGAGACAACATGCACAGTCCTTACTGCTAAAGTTCTCTAATTTTATCCACAAATTTCTTTCTGTTAAGGTATCTGATCAATGATTTAGCAAATACATGGTCTTACTAACACGTTAAGTTCTTAAGTGTATTAATAGGAAGAACAAAATTTGTGGTGGTAAAAAATGTAGGGATCATGACCTGGGTTACCATTTTCTAATGTGAGCTTTGGGCAAGTTATTTAATCTCTTCATGACTCGTTTTTATCATTTGTAAAATGTAGGCAATAGGATATTTTCCACAAGAGCTTGCTGTGGAATTAAAATAAAGGGTCCTTGGGCCCTTCACAGGTGGGGCAGTAGGTTAAAGTACAGTACTATTAAGCTATCTGCAGGCACTGCAGCACCAGTTCGATCCCTGGCCAGGGAGGTGACCCATATGGTACAGCAGACCTCTCCTGTCTCTCCCGCTGCTCCTCTCAGCTGTGTATTTCAGTCAGTCCACCTGTTCTGTTCCCCATTCTGTCTCTGGTGAATCCTCTCACCCACTCCTCCACCACCCCACCCTGCACCTCTGGCCTTTTCCGCAGTTCTTACATGCGTAAATAAATAAATCTTAAAAAAATCAGATACCTGATTTTAAAACAGTACCTACTAGATAGTAAATATATATATTTCATTAGCATTATAATTTCAAACCTGTGAGGCAACAGAATTTTTAAAAGATTTTTTAAAAAGTTCAGACTTTAAGAAACTGAACCCTCCAACCACATTCACTGACAAAAAAGCAGAATGTATCTAGGCACCTGATTACCTTTCATGAAGAAAGGCCGTATACATTTCCAGAGGTCCGGGTTGTTATTAAATATGATGCCGTTCTCGTGCATGCCGATGCACTGCAGGCCGAGCTTGCTCCCAAATCGGGAGTTGTAGTGGTTGTTCTTCATTACGTGGCACATGCTAGAGGACCTGAAGAGAAAGCACACCTTGGTGGGAACTTTCTAAGGGTCAGGAGAATGCATGGAGATGATTTTGACCACGCAGGGGGTTCTCATTGTAAATGCAATATAATCTAAATGCAATGTGTGACTTCCCGTGCTCACACATTGTTAGTCTAAGAAAATCCTGCACCAAGGAAGGGAGTACACTAAGTGAAATAAGTCAGAAAGAAAAAGAAAAATATCAGATGGTTTCACTTATAGGTGGAATGTAGGAAAACTGAACAAAGGGTCAGAAAAAAAGGCAAAACTTGCAGGCTAACTACAGATCTGAGGCATCCAGCAGGGAAAAAAAGGAGGGAGAAGGGTCAAATAGGGGAGGGAAGAGCACAAGGGACTCTGGTGATGGATCACAGGTACTGTTACTGTGCTGGTGGGAGAATTATGGAGACTATACCTGGAAGAGGGGAGAAATAAAATATTGTACAAAAATCAACAATGATATAAAAAAATTATGAAAAAAATATCCTGCTCCAGTTGAACCGCTTCTAGCTTCCTGTGTGAACACCACCAAAAATAGAGTGCGCACACTCACCACACACACACACCCACCATCCCTTTCTTGCCTAACTCCAAATTGCCTGGGTCAGAGCTGTAAGGCTTTAAGGAACTGACCTTCCAGCCACACTGCAGACAGACAGTGCCACCAGGCAGGAGCGAGCTTCCCACTGGGAATGGCTGAAATTGAGAAGTCTCACTTCTTTAGTTTGGCTCCAGCAATTATACCTAGTACCACTCTTTCCCAGTATCCAGTCAGACCCCACCCCCCATGGCTATTGTTCTTATCTTCTGAGCATGTCCTCTGGCCTTGGGCGTGGCTGGCTGGCTGGCTGTGTCTGGATGCTCTTTGTGGTGGTGACAGAGCTATCTTGGGCTCTGCTTTCCATCAGGGCGCCTCCAGGGATAGAGTTATCTCAGGATTTTGGAAATGAGCCTTTAGCCAGCCCTTGACCTGGCCAGCCTGGGACTTTGCTAATAATTCAGACTTCCTTGAAATTCCTGGCTCCTCTGGGTTCTGCTTTCATCCCCACCACCACGCCCAGCTTTGAAAGCCTTGGAAGAGCCTTCAGAAGAACTTGGGAGGAGGAGGCAGCTCCTCTGTCTCTCATGTCCCAGACTATTTCTTCATCTAGGAGCTGCTTCCTGCCCCCACATCTCTTCAGTCTGGACCTGATGAGATACTGAGTGTTATAAAGTGTTATAAAACTCTAGCTGACGAAGCCACAGGGGCCTGCACGTGTGAGGGAAATGGTGTCTTGTTAGGACAGTAAGCACACAATTCTGTAGAGATGGACTAACTTTGTTGAGATGTGCATGCAGGCTGTTTGTACATTAGTACATGGCATTGGAGGGATAAATGGATCACTTAAATAATCAAAACTTGAAAGAATAATGGATGCAAGGATATATTGGTGTCTTCAGGATAAAGGGTGGAAGTAGGTGTAGTGGACGGTGAACACGAGCACAGAGAAGAGGGAAAAGAGTTGGGATGAGTGTTTTGTGTGTTAAGGATTTGGGGAGGAGACTGCTGGTTCACTGCTCAGTAAAAGTAGGATTCGTGGAGAAAAGAAATGTTAAGAATTTATGAAATTGAGAATTGTGGAGTGGATGGAGTAAATTCTTTTTCACTTACTAGAGAAAAATTAAGAAATGCTATGAGTGACAGCATTTCCTGTGGAAAGGGGCCAAGGTTGGAAAGTAGGTTAGCACAGGGCTGGGAGGGAAGCAGGCTGCCTGGTGAGGGGCCAAGCGGACTGTGGCCAGAGAGCGTGGATCGGGAAACCGGAAGTCTCAGATGTCATGAGTTAATAAGCTGTGTGGCTAACTAACCCTCTGTATGGTGAGCAAGATGATGGGCGCATGAAGACTGATGGGATGGTGTTTATCAGAAGATAGAGGGTGCTAATCAGGACTGTGATATTTGTATGTCCATTGCTTTCATCGACACTGATATTGTATTGTAGATGTAGACCATATACAAATAGCACTAGGCACAATCAGGTGAGATTATCTAAGGGATATGGAAGAGAGTAGTGCAGTGAGGCCACAAGGCAGGCAGAACAGGACAGAGGGAGGTACAGGCATCCAGACCCCAAAATCCTTACCCACAGAGCTGCACGGTGATGATTCAGTGAAGAAAGAAAGGTCACATCTCAACCACCTGCCTCCATATAAATGGATCATGCTCCCCGGGCCAGGGGTCCTCTGCTTCTGTGCTGCCGAGTAGACAGCATAGGGCACACAGGTAAGCACCGAGCCTGGGCTCACACACAGCCAAGGCTTCCCTGGTCACTGTGTCTCCCTCTGCTAACATGTTTTACCCAGACCCCACTGCAGGGCATGAGTGCAGCAGTTTCACGTTAAAGGTCTGTGTCACAGCATTTCTATGTGGAGAATAGCACCGCATACAAGTTCCCTTTAGTAAAAGGAGGCATTGGCAGATTACTGCTCTTGACATATTTTTCTGAAACTTCAAAAAATCTCCATCTATTATAGATAATGAGAAAACAGGAGAAGGGTTTGGACATTTGAAAAAAAAGGGGCAGAGTGGTTAGTAGAGTAGAAGTTTTCTGCAGAACCTCTGTAGCTGAATTCGGGTAACTGCTGTTGGTCTGCATTTGGGCTGTCTGAGCAGGGCAGGAGCCAGGTCACATACAAAAGTCACCCACCCACCACGTGTCTCAGTGGGATCTTCCATAGGCAGCACTGGAGCGACATAACCTTTGTCTTTGAGAAGAGAGAACTAAAGCACCTACATCTGCTAGGGAAGTTAAAATAGACCCCCGCACCCTCCCTCCCCACCCACATGAGGTTTTTCCAGTCAAGGATTAGAAATCAGCTCTTTCCAGGACCAGGGCAGAGTTCAGGGGAACACACGATAAAATTAGACAGAGGGTAAACATTTGAGCAGACTAGAAAAAAAAAAGTGTGTACATTTTGCAGGAAAGCAAAAAAGCAAAATGTATTTAAAATATCTCTTTGCTACTGCACAGGAGGGAAACCCTGAGCGTGATGGCCAGCACTAGCATGCTGTAACTTTTAAGATGCGGAAGATCACTGATGCGATCTTTATTTTGGATGGGTTTTTGGTGAGTTTAGTTTTTATGTAAGTTTTCAAGTCTTCACTTCAGTTTTGGTTCTTCCTTCCCACTTCACTGACATTTTGTTCCTCTGCGGTAAATTCTCCAACTTTAGGGTTTTCTGAACACATAACCCTCAGACGTGGGGTGCCTACCACATGCAGCTGGTTCTTACACTGGCTGCAGCCGGGTCGCAACACTGGCTCCTCCCTCCCAAAGTTGACACTTAACTCCTGAAAGTATGACTGCTGTAATGAGCTTGTTCAGTTAATGCCTGTGAAAACACATTCCCACAGAAGACACAGGACCTAGAGAACTTTGCTTTGGCCAACTAGATGAGACTGCAGGCCAAGTTTTAGCCAAACCCTATATTTCTGATGGATTTCATCGTTCATTAAAAAAAAAAAAAAGGCCTTGAGATAATGGCAGTGTCAAGAAATGAAAACAGTATTATTACATGAATAAATTATGTATTAACATTTATATTGGGGGAAAAAATCTTGCTTTCAAATCCAAACACTTTTAAGATAAATATTCTCTTTTTAATTAGAGTCCATGTAATAGTCATCAGATGATAGCAAGTTTTGGACAAGTTTTCCTCTTCTTAGCAACAAAAACAAAAACAGCAACCCAGATGCTTCTGTTTTTACCCAGGGAATTTAATTTGGCTGACAAAAATTAAAATTTTATTCCCTATAGAAAAGTCACACTACAAAAAAACAAAAACAAAAACAAAAAAACCCTAAAATGGCTAAGGTTGAAATCTTTAACTTTTCTTAACCCTCTGCTATATCATTATATAATGAAAGCAGAAAAAAATCAAAGCAGAAAGCTAATAATTTGTACACTCTTTTCACAAATTAGTATCTAGAAATCTTTAAGTACTTAGGGCATAAACATTACCCTTTTTCTGCTCTGACCACTAGGGCTTCATGACCACATACTTTATCCATGTTGCCCTGCCCATTTATTTTGAGGAATTACAAATCACTGTTAAAAAAGACAGGACACTTCAAACTTAAAAACAAACCTAATTAAAATTTAATAAAAAAAGGCCCTCCCTGGTGGCGCAGCGGATTAAAGCACTGCATCGAGAATCTAAAGCCACTTCCGCATGAGTTCGATTCCCGCCTGCCCCGGAGGTGACCACATGGCGTGGCAGACCTCTCCTGACCCGCCCACTGCTCCCCTGAGCAGTGTACTTCGTCGATCTGCCTGTTCTGCTCCCCACTCTGTCTCTGGTGAATCCTCTCACCCTCCACATCTTTAAAAAAAAAAATTAATAAAAAAAAAGCTAACTTTAAAAATCAAAGTGTCCAGTAGGGGGCGCCAACACCCCAGCTATTTCGAGTCAGGATAAACTTGCAAAGCACTAAGTCGACAAGGCAAGAAGCAGTCCAGCCAGCAAAGTATGACTGACTGGGTGCCAACGAGCAATTTAAAACAAAGTCGTTTTCCAAAGTAGGCTCCCTTTATCCACCCCGAGTGAAGCAGGACCGTGTAGACCTCACTCCTGGTGTGCGGGCCAGCTCGTGACACTAGTGAGGGAGGTGTTAGATGGACAGTTCGGGAGTCAGGGTCTCTCTCTCCCCTGAGTAGGGGCTCAGTGATCCCTTCTCAGGAGCCACAGTGGGTAGTGAGTCGTGTAAGTTGACTGCTCACTGGAGTCATATGCTCTTTACGTAGGACTGAAATCTAAAGACTTCTCTAAAAAAGGCTAACCTTATTTTCCACTCAAAATTAAAAGCAGCCAGAAGTGAATTCTTAGATGAAAAGGAGAAAGTCACGCTCCAGTTCTGAGCAGAAAGGACCCACACGTGTATGAGGCAGCTCAGGAAGGATGAGCACTAAGCTAGCTACACAGGAGCCGATGAACGGAGTAACTGCCACC